TAAGGCAAGCAAAGGATGCTACCAGCGGCATGGACTGCTCAGTTTTGTCCCCCTGCAAAGGTGACATTTGAGGGTCTTTATCAGTTTTGCAGCATAGCACATTATGTGTTTTCCTCCTCACCAAAGTCATTATGCAGACTTTTGGTTGTCAAGAAGTCACAGTGTCTGATGTGCTGCAGCAGGTGTGCATCATCATGTACAGCTAATTGCCAGGCACGAGGGTTTGGGAGGATTACATTGCTAATCTAGGTATCTTCCCTGACTTATTGCCACCACCTTCCTCCTGTCACATGTATGCACGCGTATTTGGATCCTGTAAGGAATAGAAGTCAGTAGTGGTGTGTGGGAGGGATATAAGGAGCATGGCTCCCTGAGAGCTTGCAGTGGGTGGGAGGGTCCAGGTCCCTTCCGTCCTTGTGCTCCAACCTGCTTTGCCTCCCATGGTGTTTTTCAGTGCTTGCCAGTGCTCACCTCTGGACTGGTGGCACTGACACTGCAGTTTAAACACTCTTGAGCAGCTTGTTTCTGTCTTGCATGCACGACCAGAGGGGTTGGGGGAGGAGATTCATGGTGCTGAACTGGGATCCCTGTGGGGCAGCAAGATGTCACAGGGCAGATGGAAACATAACTCTTGCACTAATTCCCTGCAAAATCCAGAGTGGTATTTCTCAGCCAGAAGCAGCTCCCCAGGATTTGCATGCTACACTTATTTGTTCTTCCTAAATAGTTCACACTTGACACTTGGCAAGCTTAGCTGTCTGCAGGCAGTATGAAGTGGGCAGTTGGGGAGACAGGGTAACACCATAGGGTGCCTCTAAAGTGCATCAGTGGGTAAAAGCTATAACAAAATCCAAGGGAAGAAGAGGCAGCAGCCCAGAAATGATGCCAGGTAGCCTGTGTCCGTTGTTTTACTCCTGAAGAGCCTTCAAGTGTAAGGGTACTGTGTTGCTAAGTGATTTTCACAGTGTTGTTTTACCAGCTCAAGCTAGGGAGCCTCTGGCTGCCAGCCAGATGCTCCTTCTGCATCACTTAACAAGGAAACGGCACCTCATGCTGCCTTGCTTGGGAGTAGATGAAGTATTGATAGCTCTCTGGTTTGTATCCGGCACATAAAAGCTTTCCTCTTGGAGGTTATTGGGGGTTTTGGATACCCCAGGATGAACTAGAACCAGCCTGCAGAGAAGGGAGACCTCTTTGTCTACATGGGCATAATTCAGCATGGCACTGGGAGCTGCTGGAAACAGAGGTGGTCCTGGGGCTCAGAAGAATGTTGAGGCATGCACCGAGTCGAGACCTGGGAACTCCAGTCTGCTCCCTGCTTTTTTTCTGTAAGGAGACTGTAAGGCAGTTCCTTGTCCTAGAGTTAGCCCTGCTTAATTCACCAGGTGCTCATTGATTGCATGTTACTGAGGTGGGTTTGACTGGAGCTGGCTGTGCAGGCTTCCTGAGGAGGAATGCCCGTGGGCATCACCCGGGTAAGGGAGGGAGCATCTCCAGGCTCCTTCCTTGTCCTTTTCCCAACAGCAGGTACCCGGGACTCTCCCTAGCTGGGTCCCTGACACCCTCTAGTGGCAATATTTACAGTCAATATTTCAGGAGATTTCAAAACGTGGTGGGGTTGGGAACACCCTCTGCTTAGCAGCCCACTCACCAGTGAGGACCTGTCCCAGTGCCTTCTGCAGGAACCTGGGGCTTTGGGACCTAGTAGGAAATGTTGAAAAGAGGGAAAAAACCCAGCAGCTGGGTAAGAAAGAGCAGACAAGAGGACATGTCCTGCAGCACCCCTCTTGGCTCGGATTCAGGTATGGCCTTGCTACCCTTCTTACAGTGATGACTGTCATGTAAGCTTACCCTTGCTTTCAAGTAGAGCTCTGCTTGCAGAGTGCCCAAGAAATCCTGGTGCATCCTGCTGCAGGCGGCTGCAGGATGCTTGGGGACAGCTTGGCAGTGTGATGCCTGGCAGCGGAGCCAAGGCTCCTGGGTGGACACTATGTAAAGAGTTACTCATGTCCCGATACACAAACTGATGTCTTTGAAGCCCCAGTAGGGCAACTGGCTTGGGAGGAACTTCTGATAATCCACCTCCCCATGAGCAGTGTCGAGCACAAGGGGATTGGCGAACACCTTCACAGCATTTTCTGCTTGCTTTTCTCTGTGTGTCTTCCAGTCCTGATCTAGCCTGATGGGCTAAGCCATGCCTGTAGCCCTCCTGTTGGCACAGGCCAGCCTGGTCTGTGCCCTGTGGTGGTGTGTAAGCCCCAGCAGACCTGCAGCCTTGCTGCAACAGTCCCCAGCACTCCACAGCACTCAGAAGGATGTGCTCATTGGGTTTCTGTAATGAGCTGTGACCTGTTACCATGTTTGGCTGCCTCTTGAGAACAGTATTTTCCCCTTTCTCCTACCCACTTCCCCCCTCCCAAATCTGGTACCCAATGTGCATCTTGCAGTGTAACTGAAACAGTTGTTTGTGCATTGTTGGCCAAGCATGAGAGCAGTGGTGCAAAGTACAGAGCCTTACCACTGGCCTGGCCAGCTCTGGGCTCTTGCCTGTCCTTCTTGAGGTCTAATCCTTTGGAAACTGGGCCCTCATTTAGCAAGTGGGTCTCTAGTCCTCCTGGTTGAGAAGGTGAGAACAACCAGGTGTATGTCTGTGTCATGCTGATGTAAGACAACAGCCTCAAGGCTGCATGCAACCTAAAAGGTCTTGCTGATTCTTCTAACTGGGAGGATCCTGGTTGGCTTTTTTAACCAACAGAGCAAGAGGAATGTAGCACAGCGTGTCAGGTGTTACCACAGTTAAGTTAGAGCCTTTAACAGCACGCCACCACCTACTGATTTTCCTCCAGGAATGCATTTTGCAGTAGCTTGCCCATGTGGTGTAAAAGACGCTAACCCTCCAGCCAGATTCTGACCTGGAAACACAAAGTAATGCTTCTAGCTGTTGAAATGGTGTCCATGCCAGCCTCCAACCTCCTTGAGGCAATCCCTTGAATGGCAAGGCAAGTGTTTGATTGAGGCCCAGCCTTTGGACAAGCTTCCTGGTGTTCCTCCTAGGGAGAGGGCAGCTCCACATCTGGCAAGCCAAGTGTCTGCCCCTTTCTCAAGCATGACCTTGTTTGTCCCGCAGAGCCAGGCAGGCTCTTGGAGGTAAGCAGCAATTCACTCTCTGCCTTATGCTTAGACAGAGAGCAGCCATGCTACTGAGCTGTGGGAGCACACAGCCAACCAATGGAGTGTGCAGAGCTCTCAAACTGGGGGAAGGAGAGTAAGCATGCTTTCTTCACTGATACCCACTTTCACCTCATAAGCTGTTGTGCAGAGGCTGGTGTAGCAGGGAGCTCTGCCTTTGAAGCAGCTCAGCAGGAAAGTAACTCCAGCAACGTGATGATCAGGGTTAATTTATTTAAATAAAGTAAGAAAAGTTACAAGAGCCCGTGGCTGGAGGGCAAAGAAAAATCTGTGTGGCTCTGGAAATTATTCAGGAAGGTCTGAAATGAGAAATTCAAATGTTATCGTGCAGGCGGCATAAACCAGCAAGGTTAGATGCTGCTGTCACCACTGGTTTGGGAATCAGAGGGAAGGGGAAGGGGCAGAGAGAGGCAGAATCCTTTTCATGGTCTGCCAGAGGTTATTGCTGGTGAGCAGAGGACAGGAGCCCCAGCAAGGAAGATGAGAGGAAAAGATAGAGGATGAGACATAGTTACAGGGCACAAGCAGTGGCCTGCGATGTCAGTGACCTTACAAGGTACTTCCCCTGTCACGGGCAGTAAATTCCCTGGGTACTGAACACGTGGTAAAAGAAAATGCTCCCATCCGGGCTGGACTTGGGAAGATTTCCCTCTCATTTATATCATCTCATGGGTTTTTTCTTTCTTCTCTTCTGGTTATGATTTTTCTGCCATAAACAATCATAGCAGTTGTCTTCACTGCAGCTTATTGCTTTCTGTAGCTGTGCTTGAATGAAATAGATGCAGCTTTCAGCAGCTTACCTAATTTCATCAAACCTTCCAGTGCTGTCAATGAAACTGAACTGAGATAGGTTGATTATATTTCACTGGTATGCAGCGAAACTGTGGGCATTAAAAGGCTTTCTAACACTGCCTTGTCTGCAGAACTGGGGAGAAGGTTTGCATTCTTCCTTCCATGTCATGTTTCTTGAGACAACAAAGTCAGAAAGGCTTCTTTTTAAGAAAGTCTATCTTCTGCTGGTAGAACCTCATGCTAAAATTAAGGTGCTTGGTAAAATCATGCGAGGTTGTGGGGCTGCAGTGTTCTTTTTTATCCTGATTTTAGCGGCTGTACTTCCTTCCCTCTGGTTAATCAATTGGAAAAGTAGCCAGCAGTTTTATTGCCTTGACATGTCTGTCCTGAGCAGGCACTGGGCAGGCTGCAATTAGTGCATTACTGCCCTCAGAGGAGACACTTTCTTCCAAATGTTCAAACCCCTTCGTTTGGCCTGAGGGGATCGTTAAAACATGAAATGATATAAACAAAGGAGAGGGGAATTTAATCTCCTGACTCTTTTATGAAGGAAGATTAAAGGAACTATGTTTAGCTTGTCCCCACTAGTGACTGAGGTGTGAAGACCATGCCAGGGCTAAGGACTGGCTGAAGGATGTGGGTGGGAGAGGGGTCATGAAGTATGCTGGGGGCACACAATGAAGGGGAAGTTGCCCATTATGAAATGCCTTGATGGAAAGTATTAAGCTGTGCTGCTCTGCAGCATGATGGAAAACCCTGTGCAGTTACTGGGGCCACTGATGAGGAATTTAAGCACAGCACTGGAGTATGTGCTGCAGGTCATGGTCTTTCCCAGCCGAAGGTTTGGGGAATGATTCTCCTCTTTTGGAGGGCTAGATGTGAGCTAACAGGCCTTTGCCAATACTTAACAATTAATTACAACTGTAAAAAGAAACCTCTCTCCCAGCTCTCTGGGCTTTAGACTCAGCATTTTAGTATCACTAACTCCCATGCTGTTTCCCTATCCCCCTTTGCTGCAGTGATTCCTGACTCACTGCGAGTCACAGCGGTCCCACAGACACTGAACAAAGTGGAGCACGACTCCCTGGAGCTGAAGTGTGAGGTGTCTAAGAGCACAGCCCAGCACAGCCATGTCTCCATTGCCTGGTACCGGCAGCGGGGCAGCGAGGTGCCTGTTGAGGTCATCTCCCTCAGCCGTGACTTTGTCCTGCGGGCTGGCAGTGCCTATGCCCAGCGGCATGCTACAGGGGACATTCGCTTGGACAAAGTTGGGGAGACCACCTCAAAGCTCACCATCTACAACCTCCATCCTTCGGATCAGGGCGAGTTTTACTGCGAGGCAGCAGAGTGGATCCAGGACCCTGACAAGGCTTGGTATGCCATGACCCGCAAGCGTTCCCAGGGTGCCATCGTCAGTGTGCAAGCCACCGGTCAGTGTCTTCTCTGCCTGTTCTCGCTCAACTGGGTGGTGGGAGGAGTTGGAAAATGGGGCTGTGCCTTGTTAGGTGGCTGGGAATTGGGTGGCAGGCTTTGTCTCCTGATGTGGTCACTGAGCTGGGACTGACACAGGAGCTAAAACAGATCTTAAGCACTTGGTTCTAGCACAGGCAGTGAGAGTTTTGGTAAGTGGGGAGGAAAGAGTGACGCAGCAGAAAATAAAACTAAATCTTCGAGCAAGTGTTTCTGTATTGCACAAGGTCTTTTTGCAAGTCAAAATCCTTCTCCCAGGCCACAGCACAGGTTCCTTCTAAGGATCTAAAGACCCAGCTGAGCTCTTTCTTCCTCTCTGATATCCCCAAAGGCCTTGACTCTTGACCCTGGGCCAAGCAGGGTCTGAACAGGACTAGGCTCCAGGTCACATCCTACAGCACCACTGGATTCTGATGTTGCAGCAGAGCTGCTCCCAGGAATAAAGTCTGGAGGAAAGGGTTATGATTAGGGAAGCCTTGCAGCTTATGGCAGCAAGCTGCCTTTCCTACAGCATGGCCAGCCTGGGATCCCACAATGAAAGCAAGCCCCTAACCCGTTCACGTGCAGATGTGCATGTCGAAGGGATGTTGACCAAGCAGGGAGGAGCAAGTTGTAAATACTTTGCAGAGGTGTGCTGACTGTCTTGATGGGCTTTCCATGCTGACTTTTGGGCTTGATGGTCTTTTCCATGCTTTCAATGTTGGTTTGTCTCTCCCAGATAAGGAGTTCAGTGTCCGGCTGGAAACAGAGAAGCGGACATACATTGTGGGTGAGCCGGTGGAGTTTCGGTGCATCCTGGAGGCTCAGAATGTCCCTGACCGCTACTTCTCCATCTCCTGGGCTTTCAACAGCTCCCTCATTGCCAGCCTGGGACCCAACGCTGTGCCGGTGCTCAACAATGAGTTTGCCCAGCGCGAGGCCCTGGGCCAGCTCAAGGTAGCAAAAGAAAGTGACAGTGTTTTTGTGCTGAAGATCTACCGCCTCCGCCTTGAGGACAGTGGCAAGTACAACTGCCGGGTCACCGAGCGGGAGAAGACTGTCACGGGGGATTTCATCGACAAGGAGAGCAAGCGGCCAAAGAACATCCCCATCACTGTCCTGCCGCTCAGTAAGTAGAGACTTTCCCATGCCCTCCTGGGGCCATTGCTCTACTGAGCAGCTATGTGGTGAAGTTGTGATGTGCCGAAACTTCGGCGGTGGGGAAGAGGGAGGATAAGAGTTTGCATGCTGTTGAGGCTTGGAATCCCAACTGGCAAGATACTTCATTTTTTGATGGTAAGGGCATGATAGAGAAGGAGGGATATGTGTTGGGTTTGTAGGTGGTGAAGCATGCCCCCACCTTGGTAATGACTTCCTTGAGTTGAAAGAATGTGTGACAGCCTCTGACTTGCTCCTCACACTCTCTCCTTTGCTTGCTCTGCAGAGCTGGGTGCTCTGAAATACTCTGCAGGCATTATGGGGAGACCAGCTTGGCTTTGGTTTATCCTAAGAGCTGCTAGGTTCCTGCAGGCTGTGCAGTGGCTGTTCTTCAACTGTCTTGCAAGGCAACTGTACTGGGAGAAACCAGGGTTCATGTGATCTTCAGCCCTGGTCTGCTCTTCAGCATGGAGCTCTGTTGAGGTCACTGTGTGTCTGCCAACCCTCGTGAAAACAGCCCTGCCAGAGGCTTGCCTGAATGTCTTTTGTATTTGTCAGACCAACAGGATGAATACAAAAATAACAGGGTAAGAGGAGAGGGTCCACTGATTGATTCCTTGTTTTGCTCTCTGAAACTCGGGTAGCTGTGGCACAATGAACCATGCACATGTTGCTGAGGCTGCCCTTGCAGTGGGGTTTGACCAAGCAGAGGGTAACTGCAAGAGGATTTTGTGCAGTGTTTATCTGCTATCTCTTAGGTTTCAAGGGAAATGCAAACCTTTCCTCTAGCTTTTTTTCCCCTCCTTATTTTTCTGAAAGAAATTCTGTTTCTTTTCTCTCCTACCAATATTTGGTCTCATTTGTTTGGCTTTGAAAATTACTGGAGCTGGAAATCTTGCACTGGACAGATGTCTAAAATTTAATAGTTCTAGGCACAGCCACTTTTCAGACAGATTTCATTCTTGCCATTTGATTAATCACCAGCTCTAGGAACAAATGTGATGATTTTTCATGGGTGCTACGTGTCCATAGCTCTGACCGGAGACAGCAGGAGTAACCAACACTCAGTGTCTCTGAAAAAAACAGACATAAAGCCTTACATTTTGGGAAGCTCAGGATATGAGGGTTTTTTGACGTTACCAGACATTGATAGCTACCTCTAGTGTCACTAGCGATGGGAGTTAGGGAGAGCTTCTCCCAGAAAGGGTTGTAGGAATGGACATGACAAGATGGTGATCATGGTGATGTGAACTGAAAAGCCCAGGGAGCTGGAAGCTTTTTTTGGCAGAGCCATTTCCATGCGCTACATGTTGTAGCAACACACATTCCAAGTTCTGCTGAGATTCCATCCTGAATCTGCGACCAGAAGACGCATCAATGTCTCATGAACCATAGGCAGAGAGATTTCTCCCGATTTTGACCTACACCTGCTTTGAGTATGCCAGTCACCAGGAGCAGCTCGCTGCCCACAGGCTGGTTTTGGATGTGGTCACGCATGAGGTTAAGGCATGCCTGGACCCAAATCCATGGGCAGTTTCCTGCACCTGGTAGAAAGCCTCTCTGGCTGGCAGCGTCCTTCTTGCAGACCAAGAAGTGGCGAGTGTGTATCATCTCCCCTGTGTATATGCGTTTCTCCCCTTAGAGACCAGCATCTCCTTGGAGATTATCAACAACGCCAGCAATGTCTTGGAGGGGGAGAGCCTGCGCTTTGGCTGCAACGTGCGCTCAGGCTTTGGGCCCCAAAGCCGCCTGTCTGTTGCCTGGCACCTGGTGGACAAGCTGAACCGGCGCAGTGAAATTGTGCGTCTGGATCGGGAGGGCACGCTGCAGCCAGGCCCCTTGTACACCGAGCGCAGCAGCTATGGGGGCATCCAAGTGGAGCAGGTCCGGCCTGGCTCCTTCACCCTGGAGATCTTCAACAGCGTCAAGGCAGACGAGGGCCACTATGAGTGCCGGGTGGCGGAGTGGACACGGACACTGGATGGGGAGTGGCAGATGGTTGGGGAGCGCCACACAGGCACCCCGGTGTCCATCACTGCTCTGGGTGAGTACTTGAGGCGCGGGGGACCATGGGGCCTTGCTCCCTGTGTGCCCAGCACCCCCCAGGAGGTCACCTGTGAACAACTGGGGCTGCTCTCGGCCCTGTGCCCTTTGCTTGCCAGCACAATGGAGGTACCCAGCAGCTCCCAGTAGGTTGGTGCAAAATGCCTGCATGCTCTGTTGCATCTGGGGACAAAGTCTAAGGGGTGGCTGTGGCAGGAGCAAAGCCAGGGATGGCTAAGGACAGGGGCAGTGCTTCCAGTGTCCTTCCAAGGAGAGAGGCTGCTATCCCCACAATACTGAAGCCAAGCTGTGGGCAGTGCAGTGGTGGTGCTACGTCGGCAGCCTGTGGGCATCAAAGCCTCCTACATGCCCTGGGTAAACCTTATCTCTACTAACCAGACCAGGAGAGCAGAAAGCTGCAGCAACTGTCCAGACACCAGAAATGATGAACATCTCTGACAGCATCAGAAGTCTGATGAAGGCATGGGCCAGGAATCGTCCTCACTTCCTCTGTAAGGAGGCCCTGAGCTGCTGGCCTGGAACCATAATGTTGTCCATGACCAAGCTGAACTAGGACCTGGAATCATTGCAGCTAGTACTCTGCTCTGCAAAAGGGCTCCTCCATTTCAAACACAGTGTGACCACATTGGTTTAGGAGAGGGCAGATAGGGCATTAGGGATTTTGGATGGATTGTGAATTACTTTGGTCCTGCTCAGGCCTTGCTATGTTAAGTTCAGGACTGGTCCCCAAAGTGCTCTGCAGGAGGCTGAAGAAGGGATGACTTGTATGAGGCCGCGGATTTGCAGAATAGCAGGGCTATAAACAATCAGGGAGCTCTATTGAAAGGTCGAGATAGGAATTTTGGGTTGTTGGGTTTTTTTGCTGTTCTCTATAGTATTAATCTTAAGCTTTGGCAAGATATGTGAAAGACCAGACTTCAAAGTTGTATCTTACTCTGATCAAAATCTTGCTTTTTCCTCCTTTCCTGCCCTTGACTTTTGACCTTCTTGCAGAGGCTGTTCTGTCTGCAGCTAGAAATCTTCGCTATATAATTTCCAAAAGCAGGTAGGGATGTTAGTTCATATAGAACTAAAGGCAGATTCCCATCTTGTTTTAATGGCATCTTCCTCATGAGGTCAGCAGCATTTGGCCTGCTGTAAGTCAACATATCAGCCCTTTTCTTTATTCTGCCATTTGCAGAAGTGATGAAATTAAGTGTTGTGGTTTTAAAATGTGTCACTTTTACTCTTGTTAAAATATAAGATGCTTGGAATTGCCCTGCAATTCCAGAACATGTGTTGGAAAGGTAGTTGCCTGTCCTCCTTTGCTCCTTCTCACAGAGGAATTGCTGGCTGTTGGGCACATAAAGTCAAGTCCTAAGAAATTCCTAGGTCCTCTTCTTATAACTAGCAAAGCTGAAGTAGATCATGAAAATACTGAATATTGTTTTGTTACTGCTGAATCTGGTATTTTTTGCTCATCGTAATGTTTTTGAAGTATCCTGAAAAACTCGAATGGAAGGTGCTAAGAAGTAGCAAGAAAGGTTTATGGCTATAGAAATTGCTAGTAAAAAAAAATGTAGTAAATTTAGTGACACTCACATTTCAAGTTAAGGTCTAATCATTTGCCAGTCTGCAAGGATAAGAAACTCTTTAGCTGAACCAGCACAGATGATGTTCCCCCCATAAATGTTAAGACCCATAAATCTATCTACAGGGTGGCTTGGTAGCCAGAAAAGGGATGTGGTGTTGGAAGAGACCAGATGTCCCTGAACTAAGGATCTGGAGTGCCCAGTAGGGACTTCAGTCCCTGCCTGGCATGGGAAGGTGTAGGCAGGTGGGGAGGAGCAGGGGCAGGCTGCTGTGTTTTTGCAGTGAGGTCTTGCAGAAAATCTGCCCGCTTCTGTGCATGGCTTCTCTCCTTTTTTACCAAGTCCAAAGGAAGAAGGACCTTTGTGTTAGCCCTAAGTGCCATGAGCATGTTGGTTGAGTTGAAGACCTGGAAAATATACCTGGCTTTCACACGGCAGTCACCTCCCTTCATCAAGCTTCCTTGCCCAGGCCAACTGGAGATTAAACATTACAATATCAGCTGGTCTTGGTGAAATGAAGTTGGCTTTCTAGGGTCATCGCCAGTGTGTTGGCACTCTGAGGTAGGCCCAGTAACATACTTGCCAGGGCTGGAGGGCTGCTGCAGGGTGTGAAGGTAAGGGTTACATGGGGATGAGATTCAGCAGTCCTGAGAGGACACAGCCTGAGGTCTTGCTTTCCTCCCCTGGGTAATCACTGAACATGTTGCTTTAATCCCAAAGACTGACCTGTTCTCTTAGTAGTCGCACATCCTGGAGCTCTGTCACGGTGGTGCCGTAGGACTGCAGAAGCACTTGCAAGAAGCGTGCAGATACAGTGGTGTTCATGCTGTGGCCAGTGCAGCCCATGGCTGCAGTTCTGAGGGTTGCAGTGAGTTCCTAGCTCACCTCTCAAGCTGCAATGTCAAGCCAGTGGCAGGCTGAAGCTCCATGCTTATCCACATCTTCCTGTTTCTGCTGCACACTGACTGGGGTCTCCCCCAGTACCAGTGGCTGGGACAGTCAGGGGAAGGAAGAAGAGCTGCCAGCCAGTGTGGGACACCCCACAGAGCCTTCCAGGAAGGGAGCACTTCTTGGAGATATTGCTGGTAGAAAACAAGGTCCCTTCTAAATCTGCTGACCAGACTGAAGTTATAGGAAGAGAAGAAAATACTGCTCCCTGCAGCTAGGAACAAATAAGCAATGGAAGCACTCTGACCCAAAATGTAAGCCACTCAACTGGGAATATGTTATCTTCAAGTTACTAACAGACTGCTAGTTTTAAACTCCCTTAAACAAACAAACTGCTGAGGGTAGACAAGTCAAAATGTATTGATCAGCTTGCAGAGTGGTAGACGTGAGGATAACTGCATAAAGCAGTCCTGGAGCTGTGATCTGGAAGAGACAAAAGCTGTGCTGTGTGAAGAACAGGAGCAACCAGCTTCTCTTTTAGTTGCCTTCGTCTCTGGGTTTTGTAACCACTGACACCACTCCAGAGCATGAAAGAAGGCTGCTCCTTGCTTTCCTCATTGTTACCTGCAGCAGCCAAGTATAGACCTGGGCAGGGTGGGGACAGGACGACAAGGTGGAGGTCCCCTGCCTGAAAGGTGGGTGTGAATCGTGGGGTCTGCCAGCTGTCAGACAGGTGCTGGGTAGCTGCTCTGCCTGGTGCTGCTCCCTGGTGCCACTGCGTTGCTGTGTTTCTGTATGGGGCTTGGCAGCCTGCAGAGGCTGGTGCTCACCTCTGGGTCTCAGGGTATCTACTCCCCTGGGTGGAAATCAGGGACGATACTGCTGCCGCTGTAGCCAGTGCTCATGCAAGCAGTTGTCACTATGCAGCAGGCATTTAAGTGTGGTTTTGCCACTGCTTTTTGTGCTCACTTTGCAATTGCAAATAAGAAGCCAGCACAACGCAAGTGACTGATTATTCCAGGCCCACAACTGGATGACCACACTATAGCTTTTGCATGCTAACAGCAGGGCCTAGCTAGGCAGGTGTCTCAAAGCCCTTCTCTCTTTCTGCAGAGGCTGGCTTTGCTGTCACAGCCATCTCCCGCACCCCTGGTGTGACCTACAATGAGTCTTTCGACCTCCAGTGCATCATCAAGCCCCACTACCCGTCGTGGGTACCGGTGTCGGTGATGTGGCGTTTCCAGCCTGCGGGCAGCACCGAGTTTCATGACCTGGTCACCTTCACGCGTGACGGCGGGGTCCAGTGGGGTGATGGGTCCATTGGTTTCCGGACCCGCACTGCCATTGAGAAGGCCGAGTCCAGCAACAACGTACGCTTGAGCATCAGCAGGGCGAGCGACACAGAAGCCGGCAAGTACCAGTGTGTGGCTGAGCTCTGGAGGAAGAACTACAACAGCAGCTGGACGCGGCTGGCGGACAGAACTTCCAACCTGCTGGAAATCAGAGTCCTACGGCCAGGTGAGTGGCCAAAGCGCATGAGAGGGGCTGGGGGTATGTGCTAGTGCTGTGGTAGTCTTTCTGGAGTGAGAACTGCTCTCGTGGCTGTGATTGACATCTCACACTGGTATATGGCTCGGGTAGGACTGCTCAGCTCTTCAGCTGTGGATATTTTGGAGCTCCGTTTTCCACCTCTCGGGAGCTGGGTCCTCTCTTTACTCCTTGTGCACTGTTCATGGGCTTTCCTTCTGGGAAGCAGTGTTCACACCGAGGTTGGACAGAGCCTTGGGCAACATGGTCTAGTGTGAGGTGTCCAAGCCCATGGCCAGTGGGGTTGGAACTAGATGATCTTAAGGTCCTTTCCAACCGAAACCATTCTACGATTCTGTGATTCTATGACTGAAGCTCAGTTCAGTCCTTCAGCTGTTCTTGTGAAATGGAGGTGGCTTTCAGATTGCCACCTCCATTCATCAGAGCTGACTAACCTGGGGAAGAGGGCAAGGGACGGGGCAAACGGGCTGAAAGAAGAGAGGCATGCTCCCACCAAAGCCTGCGTGTGTGCATGCACCATAGGTGAGGTGCTGCAGCTCTTGCCTAGGAACTTGCTGCATCTCTCACTTTGCTAGAGGCATCTTCAAAAGCAGCTAGTGATCAAAGAGCCTGACTTTCATCTCCACCAGAAACTGAACTCTTCCCAGTCACCAAGTCTGTGGTTGCCCACACAGAGTTTACAATGGCTAGGTGAGAGACACATGGCTTGGCAGGGAGAGTCAGGTAACCTGCTAGGTGCTTATACACCTGCTAGGTGCTCTCTATACAGGCAGTGGAGACAGTTAGGTGCCTTCTGTAGGCATTGTCACTAATATTATGGTCGTGCCTTCTAGTGTCCATGGAAGCTGCAAAGATATGTGGTCAGAGGAGCTCTGGGCCATCACTGAGCTGAACAGTTTACTGCTGTCTTGGCCTAACAGCTGGAGTTGATGTTTGGAGTGAGACTTTTAACACCTTCAAGACCTGGCTCAGGTCCTTGAAGCACGGTAGTCCTCCTTTCGTGTTCCTGTGCAGAGGGACTCCTTCCTAGGGTCTGTATTCTGGCTTGAGCTTTGTGTTTTCCCTCTCAGTGGCCCTTTTCAAACTCTTCACCTTCCCTGATCCTGAGCACGTCTTTCAAAAAGTCAGAAGATGCTGTGAGCTCCAAGCACCTCATGAGCTCTCCATCATCTTTTTTCCCCTCTTTCCTTCCTTGATCTCATCTCCAGGTTAATGTCCTCCATTTATCTTGATTATCCTGCCTTGTAATACAAGTTTTATTGCTCGCAAGGTCAGGTTAGTGATGTTCATTATTTCAGCTTATTCCCCTAGGAAATAGCACTGACTGGCTGTGGTCCCTGGACTGATCCGCTTTTTCATTGCACATCTTTGTGCGTGCATATGTGTCTGAGGCAGAGAGAGAAGGAGAAATCCTTGTTAACAGCTTCCAGAAGAGAGCCTCTGTGTCAGCTCATGGTGGTGAGGGGGACATTTAAAGGACACATAAACCATGGTCTTGCAGCCAGTTTGTCTCTACCAGAGTAGTAACCATCAAGTGACGCTTTAACTGAACAAATTATCTAGGTCTCCATGGTTTTTACCTTTCTCTATCTCCCTGCTGTTCAACAAACTACTGCTACACAAACCTTAGCTGTCAGTCCAGTGAGCCTTTAATGTTTGTGGTTTTATGGTTCACAAGGAGGGATGGAAGATAAGTTGAGGACACCTAAGAGTGTCTCTGGCAGCATGGTTGCACTCCCACTGTTCTGTTTCCATATCTCAGGCAGCCTCTGAGAACTGACATTGATGTTCTCCACGAATGCAATGCCAGCATTCGTACCAACAACTGCTGTAGTTCTCTCTGGTTTTGCAGACTGCAGAGGGTCATATCATTTCTTTGCTGGATCTTTGGCTGAATAACCTCCAGTGAAGATCCAGCATAATGTGAAAAGCACCTTGGACACCTCTGAATGAATGTCCTAGAGACCCTGCAGTGAGACCTGTGCTGATGAAGCAGGTGCTGGTTTTTAGATTAATATCCAGGGCTTCTACAAAAAGGGTCAGTCAAGACCCCTGAACTGTTGAATACTTGAGAGTGCTGCCACTCTAATTCTCTGTCTCTGTAGTCACCTTAATCTGAGATAACTTCGGTTTACTATCAGGTATCTTAGTCCTGGCTTTCTTCTTTTCCTTGCCACTGCCTATGGATTCCTGCCTTGTCCCATATGCCAGTGAGTTTGGGGTGAGCTATCTCTGATACCAGTCCACTAATGCACACTGTAAAGAAGGTTTGTACAGAGGTGTTTTGGTAAATTGAGCCAGTGTGTGTTTCCAGGTTGTAAGTGAATGTTGGGATTTTAGTTTTCTTTTCAACCCCTGCTCCCTCTTTGTCAGAGTGACCTTTCTATTTGACAGATTCCAGGTGCAGATGTGGCAATCGATATATGTCAGCCTGTAAAGTGTGTTCAGGTGAGAAAGGTAAAATAGTGGCTGCCTGATTGCTTCATTAATCTCTTTGCTCTGTGAAATCTCACATCCTCAAAGGACAGGGTGCTGAAGCTTCTTCTGGTGTATCGGTTTGCTGTTTCAGTGCTCAGACCCTCTCTCCTTGGCAGTCTTGCAGTGGGTAGTATTTGTAGATGTCATCTTTGCTGAGTGGTAACTGCAGAGGTGGCAGCACTGGTCTTTAATTGCATTTATTAATGTGGCTGCACCTATGGCTTTCGCATGGCCAACAGATAATGTTGAGGAAACATCAGAAGCTTGAAACACTCCAGTCCTGTCCTAGTCCCAGAAAGAAATGAGCAGTATTTGAAAAATGAAAAACATAGCTCCTGAAGGAAGGAGTGAATAAGGCAGACAACAGCAGCATTAACCCAGTTCTGAATACAAGGTCTGTAGATGGGATGGCACAAGTGTCCTGCATGGCATCTGGAGCCAGATTTGGTCCTTGAATGTGACCTTCCTGGCATGAAGCTGTTAGAAGGACTGGCAGTGTGAGGACCTATAAAAGGTGCTGGCTCTACGTGTGAGAGCTTATGGAGAATTTGAATATCATGAGGGCACGTTGTTCATCACTTGCTGTTGAGTAAAAGTTCACCAGCAGTAGCAGAAGGATCCGAAGCTCCCTTTCATGGCTTGCTCCTTGATGTCATGTAAGCCCGCACAGCCTGGGTTGCAAAGTAGAGGGAGGTTTGTGCACAGGTAGGGGCACCCAGTCCCAGATAGCTCATGTGTGCCTTGCAGGGAGAGGGACCTCACTGCTGTAGGGTGAGAGCTGGGTTTTAACTTCTGTAGGCTGGGGCACAAATCCAGGCTGGTGTAGGGTCTGTCAGTCAGGGCTGTGGACCAGACAGGCTAGATCACCTGTGGCAGGCTCTGTTCTGGCTGTTCCTTCGATTGTCCTTCCTTTCAAGGATGGAGCAGCTGAGACAGGAGGCGCTGTCTGGGGGTGATGTGCATCTATGTGGTCTGCAGGACTCAGGCAAGGGCAGAAGACATGATGGGGACTGTGCTGCAGTCTGGGCAGGCTAGGATGTCTGGGTAGGATTCTTCTGGCAAGGAGCATATTTGCGCTGGTATACTGAATTGTTACTGCCCTTGTACACATTTTACCGCACTACCTTTCCCCTGCAGTACAAGTGAGGGGGTGATTTGCCAGAGCTTTGAGAGCGCCTGGGGTCTGAGCAGTAGGGAGTCTCTGGCAATGGCAGGATAAAGAAGAGCAGAACTTTCACACAAGCAGGCAGTTGTGCAACCCCCTCAGCCCTTTTGTACTCGGGCACAGACCTCTTTAACCAAACCTGTAGGGCACCCACCTCCACGTTATTCTGTGCTCTTCATACTCCTCCATCCTTGTGTCGTCCCTCAGCCAGTTCCTTCAGGACTAATCCTTAAGCAGGTGCACAGGGAGAAGCTGCAATTGTCTCTATAAATCTGCTGTCTTGCTGACGGATTTTTGACAGTAATGAATGTGGAGGAGGGATGGGGAGGGGTGGTGGGGGATGATAACCAGGCATACACGAGGGTGCTGGGCTCCTCCCTGATTTTTTGCAAGCTGGGCTATGGCAGATTGATTGACCTGTGAGCCGATGAGCAAACAAGGCAGTCAGGCTCTTCATTAGAGCATTAATTAGCTTCCAGGGGCTCTCCAGGGGCTACTTCTTAAAGTTTGGTTTATTAGGAGCTGTCAAGTTGAAACCATTGTCTTGGAGAGAGAAGCTGGGAAACACTTGTGCCTGAACCTTATTTTTAGAGTGGGGTAAGCCAGAGCTGTGCTTCCCCTGAAACCCTTCACTTGGGTGGGAACGCAGCACTCTGCTGCCCTTCTGCTATCCATGAGAAACCACCACTGACAGCAGTTCGGCTGCACTGGGCTGGTGGTGGACAGTGAAATCTAAGGGGTGGAGGGCAGAGGACCCTTAGTTTTTTTTTGTCCAAGACCACATCTGTGGCAGCTGCAGAGAAGCTGATCAGTATCCTGCTCATCTTCTCTGAAGACTCAGTGAGTGGCCAAGCAGGTGATGGTTGTGACTGCACAGGGTCAGGATGAGGCAGAGAAGAACTGGAAAACCAGGCTGCTGTATGACACGCTTAATGCTGAGGGAGGAGGGTGGACAAACAATTGCCAAGACACTTGTGAAGTATAAGGAGAGGCTTTCCCTAAGAAATAAAAGATACTGCTGTTAATGCCTTTCTTCCATCTCATTTCTTGGTAACGTCTGCATGTGAGGTATCCTCTTGTGGATGCATGTGAAAGATGCCTTTTCTATGATGAGTGGCCAGTGGGGTACTGACCACACTCTTAAATGCAAGCTCAAACAAGTGTTTTCAGGGGCCACAGAGTGCCCACTTTAAAACTGGACACTATTTGCTGCTGGCAGCATCCAGCAATAAAGTTGAACAAGGACAGCTAATGAGCTGGATACAGAAGTTAAGTCTGGAAACTTAAGTTCGCTGCTTTCTTGATCCCGGAGTGTTTTTTCTCTGTA